CTCCATAATTTTTAAATTTTATTCTAAAGGAATAAAATGCTTGAAATAAATATAAGAACCTTGAGCAATCAATTTCATCTAACACTTTAAGATAAACAGTTTTTACGAGTACTCGTATTTCGCAAAGAGATCGATAGTGGAAAGTGTCATACATCCAACCAAACTGTTAACTATGCAAGGTTTATAGTCATTTGCTTACTGTTGCACTTTAACAGCTTCAGACAAAACTGCGCATTACTTTATAAAATTTGTATTACAATATTGAGATGAATTATTTCAATATCATCTGCTGTCAAACGTAATTAAAATGTATTGATATTCATATATTAGAAACTGTCCTTTAAAATGACAAAACTTGCACAACTATGTCTTAAAATAAATATCAAATTCATAAAAATATATTCAATTTAGATTTCAATATCTTAGACATGAACAGATCTAATCAAACTATCAATTTTGCCGCTTGACGCGTTTATGTCTAAATTTTGTTTTATCTTTTGAACTGCATGCATTGTAGGATTGTAGGGGAGAAATTACTGTGAACAATCACTTTACCTTTGAACTTTGTAGTTATATTCAATATCACTCGTACATGCAAGATTAGATTAGAACGGATACATTGTAGAACAACATGCTTCTATGCAAAATTAGTAATCGGCCAAATTTATTTCGCCGTGTCTTAATTTGTTACATTCTAATCACTTACAGAATTATAATTATAGTGTTATAATGAGAATTAGAATGTGCCAGAATTATAATGTGCCAAATGATATGTAAAAAAATCGTTATAACCAATGAACAAACAAGACTCACTGGATATTCTCGTTTCAAATTAAAGTCTTATTTATTTTGTCTCATTAACGTTTTCTAATGAAAGACGCAAAGGTGAATTTATTTATTTCTTTTTTTAGATATGTTTCAAATCAATCGTGCCAATGTATATGTCATATGGGAAAGACATTACTTTCCCTTTTATGTATGCATCGATTATACGTCATTGTTTTCCGGAAGTAAATGTTGATGATGTATAGTACCTTATTTCATTTCACTCCTTAAATTGTTTTCTATATGAATGATGTTAGTCAGATAGATTTTGTTTAAAGAAAGATTTCATTTGAAACAGAAAACATCTAAAAACATTACAAAACCAATAGCGAATGTACAAAATCATAGATAACTTGTTTACACCTGCGTAAATTTGCAACAAGCCGGAAATTTTATTTTCATACAATATGCCTAAGTGCTTGTTTATGCAACATGATAATTTAATTGAAACACAATAGTTTTTTTTGTTTTTTTTTATGATATTTCATTAGATAAGGGTTGATTCCTTTTCATTTCGTAATATTTAGTGTGCTGCCTGTTTCCTTATTGCATTCGATGAATATCAGAGCTGTTTAATCATTGAACACAACAAGCATCTAATAAACGAATTTATTAATAACCCTATTTAATCAATCTAAATGAACATATCCGCCTGAAAGGAGAAATTTCAAAAGCTGTAAATATAGCACAATACATTCTTCACAAATTTTTGTCAGTTGTCAATAAATTAATAAATAAATATAATAATAAATAAAATAAAAAATAAATAAATAAATAAATAAATACCGTTTTAATAACACGTTACTGTTCTCTTGATATAATGGATGAAAGTCTTAAAACATTAGTTGCAAGACATGAAACCCAGACAGACCGTTTGAAGTTATGAGTTCAAACATCTGTCTAAATTAATTAAAGAACACCTGTCAAATTTCAACTGTGTATATTGTAGTCAGCAACAGCTGTTTTCTGTCTTTGTTTGTATTACCATTAGTCTAGAATGTGTCTGCTGACCTTACATTTTAACTTTCAAATTTGTCATAGCTACATCAATATTGTATGAAAGTAAATAAAGAAAGGGTTAAAGTACTCATAGCACGGTTTCACAACATATTTTAATACAATGATTGATTTAATTTAAAAAAAAAGAACAACCAAAAACCCTGAATGATTACAAATTTTATAATATGTTCATCTATATTCAATATTTCAGATATATTGTTTCAATATTTCTTACTAATATTTCAATTGAGAGACAGTATTTCTAGGCCTCTGTAATATTAAAATATAGAATTCTCCCATAAAACTTCGATCGCAGGAATACCCGTATGAAGGGAAAAATCGCAAAACACACACACCATAATTGCACCCTTTAAATTTATTATTATACAAAACATACTACCATATGGCCAAATACTGGACCAAATTCCACAGTCAAATGCCATCACTCTCGCGAGTTATAAACAAAACGAAAACCGAATGACGAAACTCTTATCGAATCAATTTAAAGCTTGTTAATATTTTATCCGTGTATTATCCCTGCGGGCTCGGGTTTTAACCCTCTCGTTAAAGCTTTCGTCTATGATATAAATACAATGTTATGAAGCTATGCCTGTGCACAAACATCTGTTCTGTATACTAGCTAAATAACACACAATATGTAATTTTTGAGTGCATGAAATTTTACAACTATATACTGGTCGGATAAGATGTGAAGTGTGTTATGAAATATTTGTTCAAGATAACAATCAAAGCAATGCTGATAACAAGTTTCCGAATGCATAAGATAAACCTTCAAAATCGAACCAACTGTTTAAAGAACAAATCAGACACCATTTGATTGTTGAATTGCATATATATTATACACACTAATCATTGATTTGAGTGAGTTTCAAATAAATTAACTCAATCACCCCAAAACAGTTACTGTAGATGTTATCGGATTCTGTATTTAAAAAATGAAAAAATGCATATATGTTTAGAAAAAAAGGACAGACAGATGAATACATGTAAACAAATAAAATGTTTTATCAAGCAAAATAATATCATTGTTGCACTGACGGGCTGAGTGGCGTACAGTGAGACAGATAGACATACATAGTCTGGGACATAGTGTGATTCTGAGGAAGACAGAAGGTTAACGGCGGTTAGATGGACAGAAAGCCCAGCTTATTAAAAGCGTTTGAATAATATTATTTTACACACAAATTTCCTTTTATTAAGATAAGTTTTGATATTTTTATCAATTAATTCATTACTTACTTTGTATAAGACTTTTAAAATGAAAACTTAATGTTGAGCATCAACATAATTATATAGCTTTTTTAACAGCAGATTAGCAAATTCACATAACTATGATTTTTTTCTCAAATACTTGAAGTAAAAGTTATAACTGCATGCATTATGTTATTTTTATCTTTGTCGGGAAAGCCAATACTTATTATAGACGTTAAATGAAATCAAATTGTATATTTTACAAATTACATAAACAAACCATCTGGCACGTAATGCATACATAGTTAACATCACATGGGAGGTCAACGTATAGAGTAATGTTCAGTAATAACAAGATTTGTCTATTTTGTTAAAATTTAAGTAACAATAAATAAATACATATATATATATTAACAAGTTACTTTTTCTTTGGTGAGCTGACAATTTTGTACACACACAATCGTCCTTACAGTTAGAAGATTAAGTAGATAAAATTGTAAAAAATAGGAATGTGTATGGCCGCTAAGCATAATATTAATCCAGGGCCGCTGATTTTTGTTGTTGTTTTTTTTTTTTTTTTTTTTTTTTTTTTTTTTGTTTGTTTTGTGAAAGAAGGTATTGGGCATTCAATAGTGGTAGTTACTGGTTTGTTATCAATGAAAGCTATTTAGGTGGATCGGCAGACGAGATATTACCAGAACATTGTTAATATTGGCGTAAAAAACAAACAAACAAACAAAGACATAGAAAAGTTTAAAATTCTGCTTATTGAGACTGTTATATATTACTCAAAATAATAAATGTATATTTTAGTTGAAATGTACTGGTGATAAACAGACATGTTTTCTCTTTGGTACCATTAATAAAAAACCCTCAAGCTGGATGTTATTAAAAATCAATCTGCAATGTGGCAAATCATTCCCCTCACTTGTCCAAAAAAGTTAAATATATGCATTTTAAAATGTCGTTTGTATCGTGCTACCTGAATCTTGTTTACTTTCATCACAACCGAAAGATAATCACGAATTAAATTATACAATTTAAAATCAAGGGATTTTAAACCAGCCTTATCACAAAGGGAAAGGAAAATAATCGCACCTGATTATTATTTAATATAAAGGAAGAATCTTTTATGAATAAAACTGAAGACTGTACGCATCAAAACATTCATTTTTATTGGTTGTTAAGCATGTAGATACTGATATGATGTACTATGCTTATATAAATGTAACAGAAGAACACTTATCTGGTAGATAAAGATCTGAAATTGATTTATTATCGTTATGTTTGAGTATGGAATTGAACAAAACAAATCAAAATGAATATCCTTTGTTAACTGTCATCTAAATGGGCCATAAGACGTAGATTTTAATAAAGATCGTAAATCATCTAAATTAATCTGGTAAATTACAAAAGACTACAGAGTACATATGATCAGTCTAGTAAACATCTATATTTCGTCTGGTTAAATTGTCCTTTACTAGATCGTCTAGAATGTTCAATATTTCCCAGAGTTTCCTTTCTCGGATGACTAAAAATCAGAATGTATTTTCAATAATTGTACTAATCATATCATTGAGTAACTGTAGAGATATAGAATATCAGTTTATAAACTGAAGGAAAACAAAATTTTCTGTCTCATATTTAGTAGTAAGAGTATTTACAAATGCGTCACAATACAATTCAAATATATTCTTATCACATTTTTTCTTTATGAAATATTGATTACAGGAAAACACATATGTTAGTTATAAATTTTCTTTGAAAATGCAGATACTTAAAAAGGTAATATATAATAACAAAAACAATAACACAAAAAACAAAAAAAAAACAACAAAAAACATACAATGACATATACACCTTTTTTCAAGTTTTTTTATTGTGAAGTATGCAATAATAGCACCTTTTTACACAATATTTTGGAACGTTATGGGCCTTTAAACTTAAGCACTAGAGGTTGTTGTTGTCGATCCTATGTGATCCGTATATATATCGGACCGCTATATCGTTTCACAGATATTAACGTGGAACAGCAATACATGCAAGACAATGGTGTTTTGGGAGGTTACATTTTTATTTGCTTTGAGTCTCAAAGGTAAAGCAATTATTTAATAAATACTATTTATCGTTTAATGTATTGGTTAAAAATATTTAGCAATTCAATAGGGAATTCAAATTATTCTATCTTGAACATGCAGATAGTTTATTTACTATTTAATCATTTTGATAATTTGTTTTCTTGTTTACTATTATTTTTTAAGGAACAACAGTCTTATCGACATACATGTTCGATTTATTTGTTTTCCGTGCATTAGATACTATCACAATCTTTTTTTCATATATTTACGAATATAGTAATGTCCATTGCCTTCTTTATTTTATTGCTTTCTTGGTGTAAGGTAAAATAACTATCATCTGACTTCTAAAATATTCTTTCTCTGCTTTTATTTCGTTGTAGATCATCACAGTTTATTTATATAACTATGAATTCGAAATAATTACTGTCTATCTTACTTTAACATGACTGTTTTTAACTCTTTTTGTGTCGTAAATGTAATAGTTTTTTATCATTAGCATAATATTTGTGCTTATGTACATGTGTAGCGTAATTAACACCTTGTTTTCTGTTCTGATCAACGCGATTGCTTCGTTTTTTTGTTTTTTTTTATTAGTTGTATCACGTTCTTTGCTTTTCTTTATATAGAGAAACATGTAGTGACAGTCTGTTTTACTTAGGCGTGATCCTATATTTTTGTTTTTTACAAAATATTTTTTTTTCTTTATTTTTACTTTTTATATAAAAGAATTGTATCTTCAACAAACGGATATTTAATAAACGATGTAGTCATTTAACTGCTTACTGTATGTTTAACAAAACGTTGTCTTTTGAGTATCGTTTGCTTTCTGTAGTATTGATATGCTAACTAGCAAAGATCTTAGACAAATTAGTACCACCAAAAGCGGTGCTAGATGGCGTGAGGGGTGGTGTACTTTAAAATTATTCCTCATGTACAGACTCAATCAAACCGAGTGCAGACATTTTAAGTTGAGCATGAAGTTTTATTTATTCATTTATTATCATCATTTATTTATTTATTTTGCTACAGACTAACAGTGCTGTAAATTGCAGATTGTTTTCAAATATTGCACTCTACTCGTCTTATTTCTAATATATAATAGCCCAAGGCATTTTTTAATCAAAATATTTAAATTAAATCATCTGTAATATGACATTTTCAGATATGTAAAATGTTGCAGTGAATTAGATGTCGTTTTATTTTGTTATTTCTCGTTTGTAGCTTGTGTTGTTGCTGTCGAGCAAGAATCAATCAAGGTAAATAAAAACAAATTATTACCTTTAACAAAATACGGATATTTAAACGTATCATGTTTTAAAAAAAGTTAAACCATGTAATTTCATGTTTTGTATTTAAACACTAATCCCTTAATTTATAGCAAGATAATGATTTCACTAGGTTAATAAGATGTAGTAGATTGATTGTGATATCAGCAATATCTATCACAAACCTGTTTAAGATTATGACAACCAAGAACAAAATGTTAGAAGGAAAGTATTCATTGCAACCTATATACAAAATGAATGTGTAACTCTAGGGTGCCCTATTCGACATGAGAGGGTATTGTTTGCTTATAACGAGCGTAAAACCATAATTAGTTCGGAAACACACCCCTCACTCAGTTGGATACAAATCCCGCTAGAGACCTTTTTTCACTGATCGCCCGCACATATTCCTTGTTATAAAAATCTGGAAACAAAGTTATCCCTCGGAAGCATTAAGTCAGTGGTAGGGAAGGGGTGATTTTGGCCAATTGAAGGTGATATTGTGTGATTTTTTTATATGCAGAAGCAACCCAGCAAACTTATGGAACGTCGGAGATTACGGTCCTCTTTTATTAGTAAACATGGAAAGTCTTTATATAACAATGAAAGTGTTGTCTGACTTGATAGACAAGAAAAACGATTTCAAAATGTAACACATTCCCTAAATGAATTAGTTTTTTTGAAAATGATTGGGTAGACTCTAATTTAATTTTGTTATGTTTTTAAAATCAATTTGAAGTTGTTTATTGTAAAAGAATATATTTAAACTAGAACTCTACTCCATATCAAAACACTTTGTTTACAAAACAAATCAATTGTGACCGATCAATATCGATCTGCTCTGAAAATAATGGTTTATATAAAGGTATAATTTGTAGTTTAAATTTTCAAATACCGTGGTGCAATTATGATTTCTAATGGTATCGCATAGACCATAAACTTTCTTACTTATGATTCAAGGAGCATCCTTTCAGATTATTGCTAATTTACATACACATTTTGAAGATGTATTCAAAAGTAAAATATTGCAACGTTAAAAGAACAAAGAAGAACAAGGCAAGTTATTAACACATTGCAGGCGGACGATACACTTTATGTAAACAGGTTAAAAACACAAAAGTACTCCTTAATTAGTGAGTCACGCAACATAAATATTGTTATAGATATTGCAAAACCAGTCTCAAATCACATATAATAAGTAAATATATTCATGTTTTTTTTTTCAGGCGAACGGGTACCTTATTGACAAGTGGGGGAAATTATTTGATTTTAATGATTTCAGTCATGATGGAATTCTTTCAATTGAAGACACAAAAGTATTTGGGTAAGTGTAAATGTTTAATTCAAATTTATTTTGACAAGGAAACATCATTGATTGGTTCAACTTTCACAAAGCCTGAATAACTAATCATTTCACAGGGTTCGGTCACAAAAATAGATTTATAAAGCAGATGGAATGAAATAAAATGAAAACCTGGGGGTGACAACATCTTGACTTATTTGGTTCATGTCCAAGATTTAATAATTTCAATTCTGTGAATTCACTCTTCACGAATTTTCAATTTCAGATTCAGTAAGTCACCATTTCAATTTCATGAATTCACGATTTATGCTTCACGATTTCCACTTAATTAATTGACGTTATGATCTTTATGAGTTCAATTTCGTAAATTCATGGCATTATTTTCCTGAAGTTGAAATTTTGCAAACATTATTTCATGAAATTCATTGGGAATTTGCAAAATTGTATTCGTGAAGTTGAAATCGAGAATTAATGAAGTTGAAATCGTCATCTTAAAATCGTGAATTCATAAGGTAGAAGTCGTGAAATATTGAACTCAGTAATTTAAAAACGCGAATTAACACAGTTTACAATATTAATTAACAAATTAAAACATGTCAATACGGGAATTCATTGAAATGAAATATACCCATTATCAGTCTTTTGTTGGAGATGACTATCAACGTCTTGTTAAAACAAAATTGTCAGAATATAAAATTCAGCACATATTCTTGAAGAGTGGCTTTGGTTAATATGGTACTTCAACTTTTTAATGCAGTACTGGACTTTTTGTTTGGTTTTCAACATTACCTTCCGGAACTAAGAGTTGCAAATGCTCAAGTAATTCAAAGCCATTGAGTCGCCATGTCGAGATGGTTTATATGATCATTGATTTCCTTTACAGGGAACATTATAGAGTCCGTGGTGATATGACCGATAAGCAAATAAAGATGTTTATAAAAGACATGGATAGACTATGGAAGGACTTCTATTTCACAAACAAGAAAGAACTTTCCAAAGATGACTTTATAAACTTGATGAAACAAAGATATGAGTCCAACACAACTGCTTTTATTGAGATGGTGCTTTTGTTCGAATCGGGTTATTGCAAATTAATAGACTTGAATGGAGACAAGTTTCTTTCAAAAGACGAATTTATAATGGACTTTAATACAGGAAAGCTCAGCAATACCAAAATAGACGAACAATTTTTCTACATGTATCGGCCTGTTTATGATCGTATCCCCTTTAACGATATGATTATGTCTTTTGTTCGTTTTTATACTGAACCCGATAAGTTGAAAACGGACATTGTTTTAAATGGATTAAATATCGGTGTTTGAATAATAACTATTTTCTTGACACGTGAAGAAAAACTGGAAGAGGACAGATAATACGAAATGGTTTATCCGAATACCATTATGTTATTTAATCTTAATATATACAACAAAATTAACCTTAGACGTGAAACAGATGTTAACTATCTGTAAACAACTTTTTCTAAGGACATACACTATTTTCATAATGTTATAAAATGACTGATATGTTTTATCGTGACATATGATAAAGCTTGGAACAAAACAATAAATCACGCAAATGCAACAGTCATACCTATTTGACACATTATTTTATTAAATGTCTTGACACCAGTTTGTAAACTTTAAACAGTTCCATTCCGTGATAAAAGGGTCATAATTTCCAACATAATAATCCGATTTGAACGGAAGTTTCCGATCATATGGCAAATCATATAAGAAAAACAAAATCCTAAATTTCGTTTAAAAAAAATAACTAAAAAAGCTCATTTGGGAAATGAAATCCTCATTAGAACTCAGTTCAACCGTTTTTACACAAAATTTACACAATCATAAACTAATCCTAGCATACGCCTGCACAAGTAATCTTCAAGATTCGCTCACCAATTTAGCTCTAAACAAATAACATGTAAATGGTAATGAATGTTACATGAAAAGTTGTACTCCCTGCAAAATATGAAGAAAGTAGTATATTCACAGGCACAAATGCGGGACAAAAGGCAATAGTTTTTCTGCTTATACAGAAGATATAGCTTGATAAAAATGTTTCATTCAATTTCTTACATATTGTTCGCAAATATCCTCAACCTTAATCGATATCCTTCGAAAACGTCTACGGCATATAATAGGTCAATTTAAAAATAAGCAAATTCGAAACAGTTAAAAGAAAAGTCTTCACGATATTGGTAAGTTACTGCTTGCTGCAGAAAATCAAACTTGAAAACAAGTTTAAAACAACAAGTAAGAAAATGTTTAAGATTTAGTTGGTTAATTATTTCATATTATGTGCGATTAATGACTGAGTTTGCGTAATTTGTCACTATCTTTAATGTGTCCGTATTTGACATCTATTTGTTTTTGATATAACTACCAAAATATGCATATACTTGGAATGAAAATATACAAAACAAGTAACAGGCAAACATTAAAAAAACTAAAAAGAAAGTACCAAGTTAAATGTTTCATCATTCAAAACCAAATACTGCAAATCTATCTTTTTTTAACTGTGACTCTGTACACCGAGGTACATGTCAGTTCAATAATGATTATAATTGAGAGGCACATCTTTTTCACCTTGAATACTTGTATTTTAAGCATCTTAATCACATTTTTTGCATTTTCTTGGTCAAAGAGAGTTTAACCGGGTTGATATAGATTTATTTGAAGAAAATGAAATTGAGTGCTGAACCATTTCTCATCAAGGAATAATTGATTTTTCTGTTTGCTAATTGCATAGATTATAAAACCGACAAAAGTCTTCATTATTTCGTCTAAGCTGCACATACGTAAGTGTCTGCATGTTCCGTGAAACTATACACAAAACACGATATACATATGAACTTAAAAACCGAGAATGCTTTAATCTGAATGCAATAAATATGTTAATTTGTTTCATTTAAACACCCAATCGACACGTAACTTGTTCTTCCACGTCGACATTATGCAATTAGATATCTAGAAAAGTCATGCTAATTGTTTATATTGAAGCAAGTGTATGATTAAAACGCATGTTGCATCTTTTTGCAAAGGTTGATAAGAGGCATACATAAACAATGATGTTTCCCTCTCGCTCGCCTCTTTATGTCGTATGCACGACGACATCCTCCTTTTTTCGAAGCTTTATACAATTATCATATGAGCAAGACAGCTAAAAGATACCATTAGATAACTTAGCAAAATAAAATCTATTAAAACCATTATTAGTATAATTTGTACTTTAGGCAATGGATGATTATGATATTCCTTTGCTGAAAATTGACACACGTTATAGACATGTAACCTTAGTAGCAAAAATATGATCTTGTTGGACTGTTCGATCAGTATAAGTTAACGGGCAACAATATTGATTCAACATGCATTAACAAAATAATCACAATTCATGCAGAATATTATGTATTGGTCGATTTCTTTGTTATATGCTTGAGGTACATATGTAAGTTATTGCTATCTAAAGTTAATAAAGGTTTGCTATTGTTGAGTGCCATAAAGTTACTGTGTTATTCAACAAGGAGTTTGAATATATTTATCTTAAAACGTTACATGTGTTACCAACTTTGCATTGGAGATATTTACAGTGATTCTCATTCTCTTTAGCATTATTATTTGTTGCGCTGTATTGAAGATAATCTTTTAATCTATATAGAATGGTTATCTATTTACCTTCTGTTTAGAAGAGATAGGCACAGTATTACCATACTTTGTTTTTCTATTTGCTTTAAGTGTATACATGACGATTGCAGTCTTTATTTAAACTTAATCATCATTTTTTTGTTTGCAACCCCCGTATAATAAATATCACGATGTTTTTTTTTTTCATCGACTTTTAGTGTTTTGGAAATAATCACAGTTTTTCTATCGATTTAAGCATAATAATTCATTTTCATTTTTGTTTATTTGACAGTCTCATAGATTTTTACAGCACAGTTTAGAACAACATGGCGGAGGTAATAAGATAAAGAATTGTATCATCGATGTTTAACATTTCCAGATTTAGTAATATGCATGAACTGTACAATGATGTATTTCACAATCAATTGCTTGATGATTTTTTTTGAAGAATTGGAAATATATATAGTTTTACGGTTAAATATTGTCGATACAGTTAGTTAGTTATACATAAAAGTAATGATTTATAACTGTACTGTAGCTTTCAGATCATTTCTTCTAATATTTTTTGAGCCTTTCACCCGTCTTAGTTTTGATACCGATGATAAAATGGGAAGTGTCATGCAATTTGAATATGGCGTGTTTGAAATATTTAGTATTATGCTGATGCTAAACTTCATTATTTCTCGAGGAAAAATCAAGCAAGGTAAAAAGAAACACATATAATGATGAATACACTGGAATTTAACATTGCAAGATAGAAATATTAAAATGATATAACAACAGAATGGTATTGCTAACATTTATTGACGCCGAATTTGTTACACTTATGACACTGTAAAAAAATTGATGCAAATGTTTTAATTTAAAACGGATTGTTTAAATCGTCTGTCTATATATTGGTGTAAAAAGAAAAATAGTTTGAAAACATACTAACTTCTTACACTTACCCCTTACTTATTTGATACCAATACCATCACGAATTAAGATTCTTTCATTTAAGGCAATTACCAAGATTGTATCCGGCTTTCTTCAGGGGTCTGCTTGTTGCTTACATTTAGATACTGGAATCATTCTTTAACAAGAAACACCTGAAAGTCGCCATACGACATTGTAAGTGTTGCTTGTGTCCGAACACATAAGAAAACTATGACATATCCGTATCATAATTTGTGAAATTACAGGCTTAATTTGGCAAGATATCGACGGGGCAAACATGAATGCTTCTGAAACTGAAATTAATGTTAACTTTGTTATCAATGTTTTATTTAATACAATGTAAATTATTAGCTATCCAACTATATATATTCAGGCAAACGATTACCTTAATGAAAAGAGGGGGGAATGGTTTGATTTTTCTAATTTCAATCACGATGGAATATTATCAATGGAAGACCATGAAATGTTTGAGTAAGTAAACATGTATTTTTAAAATCTGTATAAAATATCAGAATAAACTATGTTGCATCAATAAATTGATCTACTGTGTTTAGAAGCCTTAAGTCAAGACCGGATGAGAATTAATAAAGACATTGTCACGGTCTCATTCATAAATATTCATAGATTTATAACGCTAATTGGTAAAGCATACGTTTGACTTCATTTTCACGTCAAATTGATAAACGTGCAGTATTATTTACACTAAATAAGTGTAGATATATAAATAAGGTAAATGTCAACATATCTGACCATTGTAATGTCTCTGACAGACCATTAATAGTATTCCATTATCGGTCATATAACTGGTCATTAACAATCTATGGATAACAAATAAATAGAACTAATTGATGAACAGTTGCCTAACATAGAAAAACAAACTTGTTGTTTCGATTCGATTATATATATCATTACTATTTGGTTCGTTGCCATATTTGGTTCATTGACGGTGTAGTATGGGGCTTCGTTTTTGTTATTGTATTTTATCTATTGTCTTTTATTACAAAAATACTTTTAAAGCTCGTGACGATCTAAGCGATGAGAAATTGCAAACAATCATTCAAAAAAATGGATAGTCTTTGGAAGATCTTTGTTTTCACAAACAAGACAGAGGTGTTCAAAGAAGTGTTTGTATTCTATGATGAAACACAGATACGAATCGAAAACAAGCCCTTTAATTGATATGGTGCGTGCTTTTTATCGAATTGAAGCGAAATTATATGGTGGATGGTGATAAATTTCTGTCAGAAGATAAATTCATTTTGAACTTTGTTGCAGAAACGCATAACCATATCTAAATAACAAGAAGTTTTTCTACAGAATTCAGCCAAGAAATGGGCTTGTTGCTAAAATAAAAGACGTTATCTTAAAATATTTTGTTCACTTTGCAGCTGAGCCCGATAAGTCAAAACCGGACGTTATCTTGAATGCAATTACATGTAATTCCGGTATTTAAATAATGATTTTTTACTTGACATATTTGATGAAAATGATTTAAGAAGTGATAATTAAGCATCTATTCGCATCTATAAGCATTCATCTAACTACAAAACAGAATTCATTTGTAATAATACAAAGATATTTCAAGTGGTATAAACTAATAAACAGCTGTATTGTTTCCTGTGCCCAAAATCGAAAATAACAGTTTAAATGGCCAAAATGACACCATCTCGATTTCGATATCTCAACCAATAGCGTATAGCAATTTGTTCAACACTATTTTTCGAAAATAGTATTTAAGTGATGATAAGATTACACAATACGTTCCTTACACCTCTTGCCAGAATGACATGCAGACAAAAATTAAAAAAGAACCTCTATATATGTCTTTGTACAACCGAACATTAGGTTAACAATGATGCTTTGTGTGACGAAGCATAGTCATGCAACAGCATGACACCTCGGATACCAGTTGCCGGTAGATGTTTTTAAAGCTATTTTTTGAGATTTTGGAGATTCATGCTTGAGCAAGTTTCGGCTTTTTTGTAAGGAGATGGGGTATCCGTCTAGTACTTATCCTTTTCATTTTTATATGCCCGAAAGGGCATATTATGTTTTACCCCTAGGCGCCCGTCTGTCTGTCTGTCCGTACAAACCACAGCTACATTATGGGGTTTGGTCTATTGTTCTCATAACAAAAGATGTTTTTGATGTCATTCATTACGTTTCTCTTGTGGGGTTATTTTCTGCATTGTGGGGTGAAAAAGAACAAAAGAAATTACAAAATAA